ACCGAGGAGGACATGCCCAAGAGCATGAACTCTTGCATCCGAGAGCTTAAGGCTGCGGAGGAGCGCCTTGCTAAGAACTGGGAAGGTCACCTGAGCCAGCAGGGTGGCGACTGCCCCGTAAGTCCCTCATCGCATCCGATTCATGTTGACTGCGTGCTAACTTGATCACAGTACTGGCGTCGACGATACTTCAAGCTCGTTGGCCAGAAGCTCACGGCCTACCACGAGGCCACCCGCCAACCTCGAGCTACTATCAATCTGGCTAATGCCAAGAGGCTGATTGACGACCGGCGTGCCCTGACGGAGCGAGAGACGACCGGCAAGGGCGGCAGACGTCGGCGATCAGCCTTCGCCGAGGAAGAAGAAGGATACATGTTCGTTGAGGAGGGCTTCCGCATCCGCTTCAACAACGGCGAAACCATTGACTTCTATGCCGACACTGCCGAGGACAAGCAAGGCTGGCTGTTGGCTCTGACGGACCTCATTGGTACTGGTCGCGGCGACAGCGAGGACGATGTTGGCGGTTCTCGCAAGCAGGGCAAGTGGTGCGAGCTTATCCTCAAGAGAGAGGAGGCGCTGCGACGCCGGCAAGAGGGCCGACGGGTGCACTCGCGGACGAAGAGCACATTCAACTAATACCCCCTTCTTTTCTTGATGATTTGGCATGACCGGCACGAGTAGGGGACATGAAGTAATGGGGGGCACGGCATGATCTATGATTCTCTTGGACCTGGAGTTCGTGATCGGATCATCATGTTGTCTTTGGTCCGCTGTTGCGATGGCTTGTGTCTTGTGGACTGCGCGGTTGCCTCAATATCTAATAATTTGGCAAACAGGATGGCGTTTGGGCATGGTTTGGATGGCGATGGCGATGGAGGAAATTCCGGAGATTGAGAGCTTGTTGTTTTAGATTCGCACTCGGCTTCTTTTGAGCATTGTTCTAGGAGTCGGGTAGCCCGTTTGGTTGTACGTATCATGTTGTACTAAAATGGGAGGTTTTTTATCGTTAAACTGGTTGGCATTCCATTCTCATGTTGTGATATTTGTTGCATTTCATCGTCTATGTCATAATCCGAGGGCAATTGAGTTCACCCTAGGTCTGGGTAAGTTCGTAGTCACCTAGGTGAGAAGCGCTTGCATCACGTGCGTCGTGATGTGCATAAAGTTGCTGGGCCCTTGCTCCATTGATTTTCTCGTCAGTGGAGGGAAGCCACGGGGGCGCAGCTGGTCGGGGGAGTTTCACCAAGGTATCCATCTGTACCGAAGGTAATGTGCAGCGGTACGAATTGCAGGTGGGTACGTACCCATCCAGAGCAATGGATTGCTGCTCGCTACCTGAATTGCAGTGGGTTGGCAGCAGTAGCAGGCGGGCGGCAGCACCCACTTCGTCTTCCCGTTAGTTCGTTATTTTGGAAGGGCCCGCCAGCAACAGCTCCCAGCTATCTTATTACACCGAATCCTCCCCTTTTGGATCACCAAGAGATCGCAGGTTACGTCGCTTTTCCCTACGCAGCATTGCATATCGTCTGCCTCTTTCTTTACCGACCCTTCCCCTCCTCCCTCCCGCCACCCGGGTCTTACAAAACATACATCACCCTCAATGGCGGGCCGCTTTGTGCGAGCGTCGAAATATCGTGGGTCTTTTATTTTATTTTAACTGTCGCATGCCGCCGTGTTGCGCTGGGACGAGCTGACTGCTGACGCCCGATTCTCTCTCGTCTAGGACACGTCTTTGGCAAGCCGACGCGGAAGGAGTTCTGCTACGATAATCTCCACATCAGCCGAAATGCCTGGGATACCAACTTGGTGAAGGTAAGTAAGGGGTTCGCTCCTTTGCTTCTTTTGCCCTCCTGCCGAGACAATTGATGGGGGGTGCAAGACCGGGGTCGAAAGGAGAACACAAGAGAGAGAGGCTGACTAGAAACTCGCTACCTTAAGGCCAACCCCGACTACCTCTCCGTCAATTGGGATGCCGGCGGTGGCGGCGCTTTTGCTGTCATCCCCCTTGGCGAGAAGGGAAAGGTGCCCGACCAGATCCCGCTGTTTCGAGGCCATACCGCCACCGTCTTGGATACCGACTGGTACGCCGATCCCCGCGACGCCGCGACCCGCGCGCACCATTTACCGACGACGGCGAGCGCACGCGACAATCATACTGATGACCACGTGCTAGGAACCCCTTCAACGACCGCGTGATTGCTTCTGGATCTGAGGATGGAAAGGTCTTCCTCTGGCAGGTTCCTGAGAACTTCACCCTCTACACCGATGCCGAGGAGCCCGCCGATGTCTCTCCCGTCAGCAAGCTCGCTGGCCACTCGAGGTTCGTCGCCCGCGGCCTTTCCTTCTCCCCCTTCACTTGTCGACCATGATGCTGATGTGTAGCATATAGAAAGGTCGGTCAGGTCCAATTCAACCCCGCTGCGGAAAACATTCTCGCGTCCGCATCCGGCGACTTCACAATCAAACTCTGGGACATCACCACCGGCTCGCCTACCCACACCCTGAAGCACAACGACATCGTCCAGAGTCTGTCGTGGAACGCCAGCGGCTCCATGTTGGTCACGACATCTCGCGACAAGAAGATCCGCGTGTGGGATGTGCGCGCCGAGAAGCCGGTCCACGAGGCCCCTGGCCACCCGGGCGCCAAGAACAGCAGAGCTGTCTGGATGGGCGAGCACAACCGTTTCGCCACGGCTGGTTTCTCGCGCATGAGCGAGCGTCAGCTTGCGCTGTGGGAGCCTGGTCGTAGTGAGCCGATTGGAGGCTTCAGCATGCTGGACTCCATCTCTGGTGTCATCATGCCTTTCTGGGGTCAGTATTGGAAGTCCACTCTTCGCAAGGGACAGTTGCTAAACTACAGACAGATGACGGATCCAATTGCTTGTATCTTGCTGGCAAGGGGTAAGTGGTTCGTCGAGCATAGTGCAGTCCTTGGCGTACTAACAGCTCTTGCAGCGACGGCAACATCCGATACTACGAGTACGAGAACGACAAGTTCGAATATCTGAGCGAGTACAAGTCCGCCGAGCCCCAAAGAGGCATTGCTTTCGTTCCCCGTCGTGGCATTAACGTAGGTTGACTTCAGCACGCGCGTGGTGGAATCTCTAGAGAGTCATATCTAACGCTGCGTAGGTGCACGAGAACGAGGTCATGAGAGCCTACAAGACGGTCAACGACAGCTACATCGAGCCTATCTCCTTCACCGTTCCCCGCAGAGCCGAAACCTTCCAGTCCGATATCTTCCCCCCTGCTACTGGCCTCAAGCCTGCCGTCAGCGCCAAGGATTGGCTCGATGGCAAGACTGGCATTCCCTCCAAGATCGACTTGGAGAGTGTGTACGAGGGTACCGCTCCGAAGGAGGTTGCCTCTGACTACAAGCCTCCCGTGATTGCCTCAGCTCCTCCTCCGGCTGCAAAGCCTGCGCCAAAGCCCGCCCCCGCTCCGGAACCCACTCCGGTGGCACGCTCACCCCCTCCCTCAATGAAGGAGCAGCAGGCCTCCATGTCCAACATGGCCAACAAGTTCAAGGATGACGAGCCTGCCGAGCCTGAGGATGAAGACGACAACTCAAGCTTCGAGGAGGTACAAAGACCAGCCCAGCGCGCCGCAGCCCCTGCTGCAGCTCCTGCTCCTGTCCGTGCCGAGCCGGCCAAGATTCCTTCCCCTATCAAGGCAGCCTCCCCTGCTCAAGTCAAGTCGCCTCCCGCACAACAGTCCCCTGTCAAGCCTGCATCTGCCAACTCACCTGCATCCTCGACGCACATTGAGTCATCTCTGGATCAGATCAGACAGATGCTCGAGCAGCAAACCAAGCTCATTGGCAAGCAGAACGACAAGATTAGCAAGCTGTCGGACGAAGTCGAGGGACTGAAGCGCAAGGTGAACGCTGGCGGGTCTCAGGACCAGAGCGAGAGGATCAGACAATTGGAGCTGGAACTTGAGGCCGCGCGGTCTTAGGGAATCTCTTCTGATGTTTTCGTGTAGCCTACAGTGTGTAAAGGAATGGGGGTCTATGGGGGAGTGTGCATCTGGGGAAGGAAGAGATGTGATGAAAACGGGGTCTATGGGATGGATAGCAAGCAGTGATTGTCACAAGCAGAGTTAGTTTGGTGTTATAAGTACCTATTTTGTTCTCTTCCCCCTTTGTTTCTTTGGTGCAGGGCGTGTGAGCGCCTGGCTGGCGGTGGTGCGTCGACCTACGAACAGCACAGCGCACTCGTAAGTGGAGTTGGCATCTAACCAACATGTTTATGGAGGTGGGCGTTGAACCATAGGAAGGCTCTGATAAACTGTCTGTCTGTCCGGGTGATGGTTTCATCTGGTCCATTGGATGTGGGCTATTCTTGGCACTTGGAGGGACTAGAGATAGTTTCCTGTCGCAAGACGTGTCAGATCCAAGGAAACTTTCTTTTTCGTTCCCTCTGCAGACAGATCAACCTGCTGTGCGCACATGTGTCTGGGGGGGGATTCTTTTCATCTCATGTTGTTGAGCTGTGGGTTGGTGAAAGTGAACTGTCATGTACCTAGGTTAACTTGGACGAAATGTTCAACTGTGCAAATCATTGTCGCACCAAATGCGTCACAACACTGGATGGTTTGTGAGGAGAGAGGGGGGGATTTGGGGGCTTTAGCATCCCACCAAGGCTGACGGGAGCTTTGACGTCTTTTGACATTTTTGACCCTAGTTGATGTGCAGCCAATGAGGGAATGTTCTCCAGCCACAGGTTGGACGAGGCTGAGGAAGGGGACCTCTCGCGGACCCGCTGAAATTTTCAAGATTGTCGCGATAAGGTAGCTACGTTGCTGAAGGACTTTTTTTTTCCTTTTTGCCAACGGTACTGCAACAATTGTAGCACGAAAACGAGAAACCAACAACCACCGTTCCAATTGCAGCAATTTCGCAGAACAATCACACTTGCTTCTCTCGAGCAAGAGAAGAGAAAACAAGCGCAACAAGCGCAAAACTGAAAGGTCGAATCCCCCGATCTGCGATCGCGAACATGGCCTCGGTCCTCGGAAAGCGCAAGGCGCCCTCTGCGTCGACAATCACCAAGACGAGCAAGCCAAATACAACGGCGGCATCAAGCAAGACTGTTTCGCCGGCATCGAAGAAGAAGAAGAAGACGAAGAGCGCCGAAGGTCTCGAGAAATCCTCGGCCGCCGCACCAGCGACGAAGAAAACGGCCACCAAGAAGACAAAGGCGAGAAAGGCTGAAGAGAAGGACGAAGAGGAGGGGGATACATCCATGCTGGACGCGCAAGAGATTTTCAGACGGCATTTTGAGGCGCAGTTTAAGCCGATTGAGGAGAAGAGCGCGCCGAAGCGGAAGAAGAGCAAGGCCAAGGCCGAAGAGGAGGACGAGGAGGAAGAGGAGAACGAGGAGGACAGCGCGAGCGGAAGCGACGAGGGTGCGGGCGACGACGAAGAAGATGTTTTTGAGGACGAGGGTGCCGATGGCGAGGAGGGGGAGGGGGAGGAGTGGAGTGGTCTTTCTGGCGACGAGGGTAAGTACAACCGGTTGGGCGCAAAGTCCAGGAGTGCTATGAAGAAGACCATTTAACTAACGAGAGGCTCAACAGAAGACGACTACGACGAGGACAGCGACATCCCCTACGACGATATCGACGAGAACCCCGTCATCGAGGTGGTAGACCACACCAAATCCAACGCCCCGCCCGTCGTCAGCATGAGCAAGCGCGAACTCAAGGCCTTTATGGTACGTCTTCCACCGCATCCCCCACCCCCCCCCCCATTCTCCCGTCCTCACATCTCGCCATCTCACTAACCCCTCCTCCTCCTCCTCCTCACAGTCCTCCAAACCCCCCTCCCAAACAGACCCCTCTCCAACCTCCCTCACAGCCGCCCAAACCCCAGACGACCCAGACGACGAAAACGACAAGTCCATGCTCGCAAACGACCTCGCCCTCCAACGCCTCCTCTCCGAATCCCACCTCCTCGCCCGCCACGCCGTCTCCCCCTTCTCCAACACCTCCTCCTCCAACTCGCCGGCCTCGAAATCCTTTTCCGAGGGAAAACTCCGCCAGCGCCAGACGGACCTGCGCACGCGGTCCCTCGCCGGCGCGCAGGGTGTATCCGGCGTGAAATCAATCTTTGTGCAAGAAAAGATGCCGATGGCGATGCGCAAGGGCATCGTCGCCAGCACGGCCAAGCGCGAGGAGAAGCGCAGGAAGACGGCGCGGGAGAACGGAATCGTGTTGGAGAGGGAGGCGCCCAAGAAGGCGACGAAGAAGGAGAGCGGCGGTGGTAGGTTTGGACAGAGGGGGCTCGATGGGCTTGATGTTGGGCGGATGAGGGGTGCTGAGCTGAGGTTGAGCGAGAGGGATGTTCAGAATATCGAGGGGGGCGGCGGTCGTAGTGGTGGACGTGGAGGTCGGGGCGGAAGGGGAGGGAGAGCTGGTGGTGGTAGGGGAGGCCGCGGGAGAAGGTAGACTGACGATCTACCATGCCGCAAGACTTTAGAGCCTTGACGTATCTACAGTAGCAATAGGTGCCTTGTGTTGGCAGCGGCTCAAATATACCCTTATTCACGGCGGTATATCTTAAAAGCCGTCACGCAAAATGTTTGCTATCCGTTCCTGATGCGTAAGTGCTTACACGTTATTTTTGAGTATTGATACATGTTCACTTCATGGTAAGGACGAATCCGTTGACACTCAATCCTCATAATTTTCAGGTGTAGCATGGTTCACATTTCGGTAGACCTCACAGGCCAAGGGTATGGAATAGGAACGTGTGGACAAGGTGAATCAACATTCGAGGCTCTGCTTATTGTTTCGTGGCAAGCCCTGTCAAGCAATCAAAGACATGCTCGGCAGTCTTCTCCCCTGGTATCATCTGGCCTTCTGGCAAGTGTGCTCTTCTCAACTATGCCTCTCCAGCACAAAGGAAAAAGAAACAAACTATATATACATGTGCGAGTCGTTTCTCTTCTTCGCATATCGACCCTAAGCTCATGCATAAAATCTCCCTTTTCGACAGGTACTTTCATACGTCGAGATCTTTCCAGTCTCATCGTACGTACCTCTATGTGTGCGAGTTTCCTTTTTGGTGTCTGAGACCAACGGCCAGACTCGATGCTGAACACATGAAACTGAAACTGAAATAATAAAAAATTCGCCCGGAGCCAAAGGAGCAATTGTCCAGTCGCTGACGCGTGCCGAAATCCATCTTCTGGATGGATGAAGAAAAAAGAAAAAGTCCCTGACCCATTCCGAACCTTTGTCATAGCCATGCCGCCCTCTAAGTAACACCGTGTCGAAGGAAACGTAACTCCAGTCGTAATGAGAGCCGAAGCTCGTGAGGTATCGTCTCTCACATGATGGCGCTCGCGTTCACTGCCGGCTGGCTGATGGTCATCGGCATGCTGAGCGTCTGCAAGCTGTTGAACGATTGCGCCATGCCGTTCGATGTCGGCGGTGTCGAGCCGTTGGCAACACCGTTGAGCGAAGCGGTGACATAGGCGTTCTCGGAGTTGGGCGATGCCTCCTCGAGGGAACCGAGCTGGTCCTCGCCAGAGTACTCTTCCTCCTCCTCGCCGGAGAAGTTGAGAGCAGCCTCGCCGTTCTCACCACGGTCATGAGTACGCTTGTGTCTGTGGAAACATCAGAGTCAGTCCATGCTATGCGACGAGGTTGATTTCCCCCTAAAAGTTGGTGGCTGCGTAGTGATGATGATGAAGTCTGTGTTGTGGCGCGGCGGTTTGGACGTTGGTTTTCATCGCTTGGGGTCTCGCTCCACATTACATCTTTCTTGACAAAGGAAATGACAAAGGAAATGAGATGAAGGAAAGTTGGGGCATACTGTGCTAGGTTGTCTGATCTGGAGAATGCCTTGCTACAATAAGGGCAGATGTAGGGTCTTTCTTGTGTATGTGTTCTCACGTGTCTGGAGGTTTGGTCAGATTTCAGGCAGGTCGTTTTTTTGGTTGATCACAAATGAAATCGAGTCTGGTTCTTACCTCTTGAGGTGCTCTAATCTCTTGAAGAGACGACCACACGTGGGAATAGGGCAGGAGTGTGACTTCTGGGGGTAGGGACCAAGTTCCATGACAGTCGCGGAGCGGGCTCTGCGAACGACGCCGTTGGGGCCCTGCATGCCAGGCCGGGGAGCACCGTTCATAGAGCCATCACCGGACATGTCATCGTGTTGGAGGTGGGAGTAGTCTTGCTGCTGGAGGGACATGGGGTTGAGAGCGGGGCTGCCCTCGACAGTGGACAGCGGAGTGCCGTGCCGGGACAGGTCCAGCATCTCCTTGTGCTGCTGGCTTACCATGGACATGGCGGAGCTGCTGTAGGCAAGGCCGGGCGGGGAGTTGTCTGCAGATTCGTCGCCTTCAGCCACAGGACCGACGGATGCAGAGACCGACCGCCGGAGATCCGAGGGTCTGTGCTGCTGTTGGTGTTGTTGGTGCTGCTGTTGCTGAGCGGCAGCCTGTGCCTGCGCTTGGGCGGTGGCAGCGGCAATGGCCGACATTGACGGCGGGATGGATGAACGCCGCCTCCTCTGCTTGTAGGTGGGGGATCCTTCAATGACAGAGTAGACGTTGTTTGAGCCGTAAGCTCTCGAGAACTGAGGGCCGGCGAGGTTGGAGGGAGGAAGCTGAATCATGCCGTTGAGGCCGTTGACGTTGCCGCCCATGTGGTCGGGGATGGCGGTGTACAGGCCGGTCTCCTCATTGGCGATGTAGGCGGGCTCGGCGGCCATGCCCAAGGCCTGCTGGGGAGGGGTGATGGGCTCGAAGGAGATTCCGCGGTTACTGTAGTCCTCGTACTGAGAAGAGACGAACGAAGGGGCGGGAGAGTACTCGAGGCCGTAGGCGGGCATCGAAGCGTGTCTCTGGTGACCCTGGGTGATGGGGACACCGTTCTGGTTGTACTGGACGCGAGCGAAATCGGGTTCCCTCTTGACCATCTGCTGGGGAGGCATCTGCTGAGGCATGCCCATCGCTCCGTACGGCACCATCGACTCCATACCATCCTGCATAGGAGCAACTGATTGAGGAATCATCTGCGGGGGCGGCATGTTGTCCATGGGTCTCATGATCGGCGAGGTGGATTGAGACTGAGAGAAGGTGACCTGCTGGGCGTTGAAGGATGAGGAGTTGGCCTGCTGAGCCTTGGTGAGCTGCTCGTAGAGCGACTGAGATGAGTCGTACTGGAAAGACAGAGCAGGCTCGCTAACGGCAACGGTGGTGGCCTCCTGGCCCATCTTCTCGCGCTTCAGATCACGCTCGAGAGCGTCGAGGAAGAGTCTGTCGTGGGGTACGCTGTACCAGTAGAAGACCTTCTGCTTCTTTTGCGTGCGAATGCAGTTGTTCTTGTAGAGGAAGTCGAGGAAGGGGCTCTTGGGTTCCTCGAGCGATGCATCGGTCCCCGACTTCAGGTTTCTCAGGTCGGAGAAGATGCCCTCCTCAAACTTCTTGGAGTTCTTCACTGGACGGCCGAAAGCCTGGAATCTGAAGGACAGGCATCTAACGATGTCGGTTCCGGAGATGTGGAAGAGGTTGTTCCAGAGAACACAAGAAACGTACTCGCCCGTGGGAAGGAGAAATCTGCGGATGTACTGATCGGGTTGCCAATCGACAGGAGCAGAAATGAGGAAGTATTTCACTGAGAGACGAGTCAATTGAGAGCTTCCCAAATTACCGATTCAATTTTCGACTTACGGTTGTCAACCTGTTGCAAGGCGACCTGAGCGTCATGGGGCAAGGCTTGCTGGGCCTCGGTGCTCAGCATGAAGGTCTCTGGCTTTTGGGGGGCCATGCCCGCGGCGGCATGTTGTGAGTACATGCTGTCGGATTTGTTGTGATGGGGGTTGACGACGGGTGTCGGTCGCGTCTGACCGGATCGAGATCGAGGTCGCGCGGGTTGTTCGCCTCGGCAGGTTTGCGGAGGTGACGAAGAGTCAAAGAAATTGTGTGTTCGTTTTGCGAGACGAAGATTCGCAAAGCTGATTGAAGGCGCTGCCCTGGTTGGATGAGCCCGGTAATGGGACTGTTGCTAATTTTCTTTTTGATTGATTTTTTCTTGAGACTTAAATCGAGTCCAGCCCGGGAGGAAATAACTTTTTCGTGTTGGCACAACTGTAGACCACAGGACCCAAACTCGACCTCAAGCGAATGATGGGTGGTTTCGGCTACGCAGATCAAGACCGTCAAGGTGTTGATGATGATGTTGATGATGGGTGATTTGGTGTTTATCGGCACCTTTGGTCTCGGAGTGAAACCTTGGGGTCGAATGAATTAGGGGTCGTTGATGGAAGACGGTGCGTCAATGGCAAAAACAAGAAGGTAGAAAAAGCTCGACGAAGGGACCCTGCGCAGGAACTGGAACTGGTTGGCGACTAGACGTGCTTGGTGCTTGCTGGCGCGATGCGATTCGCGATGATGGACAAGCGTGCGACGGGCAATGTCTGAAGTGTCGATGGGCGGGATGATGTGCCTCGGGGGTGGTCAGTCCTGATGAGATGGCAAGAGAAACGGGGGTGGGAGGTATGTGCGGCTCCGACGAGGAGAGAAGGGGAAGAAGGAGGAGGGAAGTAGAGGGAGAGAATGGAAAAGAGAGATGGGAAGAAAAGAAGAGTCTTGTAAAAAGAGATATCAGAAGAGTTTAGGAATGGGAGGATGGTCTGGGGGTTTAATGATTTTGGACGGGGTGAGAAAGGGATAAGGAAGAGAGAAGGTAAGGTCCCCAGCAGGCCAAGGTCAAGCGAAGTGGTTCTTGGGTACGGAGTATGCTGGGTGTGCTGGGTTGCTGGTGCGTGTGGTGGTGCGTGGTGTACGTGTTGTGCGTGGTGCGCGCGGTACCTTGGGCTGGGGGGAAGGGGGGGGGGGGCATGGAAAGGAGGAGTAGGAAGGAGGAGGAGGAAGACGAGCAGGAAGTGGGTGAGAAGGTCTGGTCTGGTCTGGTCTGGCGCGGGATTGGACTTTTGGGGCCCTTGCCTTGGGTACTTCGTAGAGAAGGTACTTGGGAGTGGGAGTAAAGAGAGCGGCGGCAGCGGCAGTAGGTAGGTACCTGCACTAGGTACTAAGGTATGGTAGCAGCGCGCGTGGGCGTCGGGTAGGCGTGCGGCGGATGGGAGTGAACCAAATGGTGGCAGCCGATGGGTTGGAAGGCCAAGGGGGCAGAAAGAGGAGGGACTGAGAGCACAGAAGGACCCAACTTACCTGGTACTGAGTGACTGAGTTGACTGACTGGTGACTGGACCGTCGGGCGGGTTCAGGATGAGCAGAGCAGAGCGAAAGGAGGGCAGAGAGAGAGAAAGAGCAAAGACGCAGCCGGGTGGACGAGGGGGGAGGGTGTTTAAGAAAAAAAGGAAGGGGGAGGGGGGTGTGAAAGCTGGGTGGAGAGGGTAGAGAAGTCAAGGAGGAGGGAGGACGAGCGAGGAAGCAGGGCCCGGTACCTTGCTGCGGTACCTGGACTGGACTGTC